CCTGGTTCGTTCGAAACACGCCCCATAATCACAGCTCTATGGAGCAGTATCAGACTCATATTCTGACTAGAATTGAGTCGGACTACGTCAGGCTAACGGTGCGCCTTATGGTCGTGAAAATACGGTACATCCGTTTACACATGACACAAGCACAGTTCCTCGCCTCCTAGTGACGACCTATGGTACTATTGTTCTCTATCAATCAAATCATTATGGCGGCACCCATAACAATCAGGAAGTTTGGTAGTAATTGAGATATTTCGCTGTTTGAGGTGAGTCAGGCGAAGAAGGCAGCCTTTGCTGAATTTACTTGACAGAGTCGGCTATTGGGAAGTGGATACAACTCCCGATCCACACTCCATTGCAGTTGGTGGCGGTAATGCACCAAAAAGTTGTTTGCCAACCGGCATAACACACAAGAAGAAGAAGTGGATACGAAAAGCGATAGCCTAATCAGGGCTTAGAGACGCAGGAAAGAATGGCAGATGCTAAGACTCATCACACTGCTGAGCAAAATCATAACTGGAAATCATGTGGCACGGCAGGGAAGCCAGTATTTTTATGAATGTCTGATATTTCATGATTAAGGAGGCTGACTGTAAGTGGATGAGGCGGCCTGTTCATGTGCTCTTTGTTATCTGAGAACCGGGCCAGAACTGAACCACGCCGAGCCCTACTGTTGAACTAGTACTAGTTTAGTGCCGTTCGGTTGTGTCTGTCACTGTGCGGTTCAGTTTTGCGTGCCAATTACACTCAACAGTTATCTTGGTTACTGTGCTCGGACCGATCACGGTACGGTTTCAAACAGGTAGAGTAAATGGGGCTTCGTAATTATCCACTCGATGAAGCCCGTTCATACTATGTTTCTTTTCAATAAGTTAATGTGTGTGATTCTATTAGCTATCGCTTTGTATAGGTTGGAACCAGTATGTTGGCTGCATTCAACTTTAAGAATGTAAACGTAGAAATTGGAATAAATCTTTTATTCCGTTTGTGTTTATTTTACTCGTCTATGATGCAGAGTTTGTGCATGTGTTGGAAATATTCACCTGATTTGGTGGGGTATTCTTAGTCAGGTGCAGAGCTGGAGCTGACTCCCCGAGCAGTGATTTAAGCGGTCTGACCTCTGGGGTGCTGTTGGTGCTGCTGTTTGAGGAACCAGAAATGGAAGCATGGACGGATGCCACAACCTTGGCTTGCTCAGGAGGTACATACCTTGGAGGGAAATAATGTAGGCATCACATTAAAATTATACTATCAAACCAACAATGAACATTAATAGTAATCAAATATAATTCAATAGATTTTATTTAAAATTAAAGATTAAATGCTTTAATTTCACTGAAAAATAATTCCACTATAGTATTTGGTAAAACGTCTCATTAAATAATTGTTGTTTTTTTTTTGTATTGCCGAAGAATGACTTATGTGACTGAAAAATGTCTGCTGGCTCTGAAGGAGGCACGCTAAGACATGCAGCACTTTCTCTACTGCTCTCATTTCGGTCAGCCTTCAGAGACTAGAGATGAGCTAAAAATAATTCCTTCATAATCAGGTGCGTTTTGTTCCAGGAATTTCTCAACTTCTTAGAAGAAATAGTTTAGAATATCCATGCATCTCATTTTTGTGTCCAAATGTATTCAGCTTTATTTTTACCATTGCTAATATTTACTTTTTAAATTAAAAAAAATAAACAGTGACTTGATTTTTTTGTATATAGATCAGCTCTTACTAGATGTCAGACTTAGATCAGAGTGTTAACTAGGATAATAAGATAATATGTCAGTTTAATTAATCCCTTTACTTCTTAGAGTCACTATTGCACATTTAGAGCAGCTTGACTGTAGCGACCTACATTCGGTGCTCTAAAAGAGGGATGTTTGGTGGCTTGCTGGAGGCTGAGTGCTATGAGCTGCCTTTGAGACATTCCATGTCAAGCATAAGGAAAACTCAAACAAGCGTCATGTCAGTACGAGGTTTTGATCTATTAATTCAGATCTATGGATACCTAGCCTGAAAAAACTCACTCACCATCTCTTCTTTTCATATTTCTCTTGAAGGAATTCCTTGACTTTCTGTGGTTCTCTGAAGTCTGGTATGGATGAAGTTCTGTCATCATAGAGACCAAGCCAGATCTGTTTACATACCTGAAATACATAAATGTTGGAGAAATTATTTAGGTTTGAACATTTGATCTATAAAATCTCTGCTACATCATATTATTGTTCTTTAAACTTTTAAGCAATTTCTAAAAATGAAAATGGGCTGTACACACAACTCCACTACTTCCTGAACTTAAGGCAACTCTTTGGTTTCCTGTCTATTGCTGAGTTTGAATTTAGCGGCTGCGTCCTACAAGGGCAGATTCCTCAGCCGGTTACGTCATAGCACTGCGCAGAGGCCTGCTTGGATTGGAAGACTCCTTGAATGTGGCCGACAAATGCAGCCTTCTTTTTGCTTGTTTTTGAATGACAGGTCCGGTGTATCCTACGTAATCTTGGGTATCCCATGATTCACTTCCAGTCCAAGCAAAACAGATGCTTCATGCTCAGAGGAAAAAGGTCATTGTCACCCAACATTGGTAAATATCGTAAGTGCGGTTAAATATAATACAAGTATATAAATAGTTCCGTTTGAAATGAATGAAAATAGTTATTTAAAATGGTTATTGAGTCAGATATGTGGCGGATAATGTTTGGTTTATCGAAAGGTTTTATCTGTCCCTGTGTAAATGGCTTTCGCTGATATTTGAGCAAAGATTCTAATATCTGTGCAGCCTGGGGACTATAAATCTAATATATTTGTTACGACAGTACTGCTGGTAAAGCTCCTCGAAAATGTTATTAGGGTACAGAACATTAGTGAGAAATTCAGCATCCATTCTTTGCCTGCTTTGTGTGTCAACTGTCACTGTTGCTAGGTGACAGAGCATACGGCGGTGGAGGTCGGAGAAGGCTGGACCTGATTGATTCCATAGTCAATCTCTTCCAGCCTCCTTATTATCATGGACCATAAAGGATCCAGTCCAGATAGACCGGCCACTGAATCGAACGCACCCTTTTTCTACTCGATGAACTGATTGATCCAGGTGTGCCTGACCTCAGTAACCATGGCCACACATATCTGGATTAATCAGTTGATCCAGTGATGAAAGACGAGAAGCAAAAAAGAGCGGTGTTAAATTCAGGAAATAGTGCATGCAATTGTGCATAGAGCCCATTAGAAAGAAACTAGAAATCAGTAAACAGTATATACAGAGGGAACATTTAAAATATTTTTTCTTGATAAATAATACAGCATTTTATATTTTAATAGTTTCTCTGTTAATAATACCATTTTTTCTTTTGGCTACATTTGACATTTCAAGCTACAGGCCTACATCTCAATAGATGAATATTTCTATATATTCATATAATTTTAATGATCGGCCTTCCTACCACTCTCACTACATATCCCAGAATGCCCTGCGACCACTACGCAAGTGGAATCTGCATTAATAACAAACCAAGTAATGCCCAGCCATGAGTTCACACATAATCTCACTGACCTGGAACCGCAAAACAAATAATCAGGAAAAGTTCTAGAGTCCATTTGCTTTAGATGTTAATAGTGCCTTTGCACACATTTAGATGGAGCTTATAGTCAAGCTAGACAATAAAACTCGAGGCAAAGCTTCTTTACTCTTCTGACCAGTGATTCCTAAAATGTAGGTGCAGTTTAATGAACAGGTCAAACAATTACACTTTAAAAGGTGGTAGTTTTTGGGACTTAATGGGGATTGCAGTTTATTTAATTGCAATATCTTATTATATATTGACAGTGAATTATTATGGGCCCTTTCCCTGAACATTAAATGGAAGGAAATTGTGCAAGCATCAGGAATTACCACAGCCTTGAGTAAACTGTAAATGGAATTTAAATTCAAAGTGTAGTAAATTAAAAAAACAAATATAATAGGAACATGTAAAAAGGGTACATTGCAGTGGCGCAGAGGTAGCTGAATAAAAAATTTAAAATATGGTAAAAATAAAGAAAAGTTGGAGTGCAAACTTAAATGAATGATGTATCAACGGCCACTTTAAACACGTTTTTAATTGATTTAAAGCAACATACAGTTTCTGCACTTTTTTAGTTCCCTTTATGATTGTTTAAGCTTATTCAAGCTTAAGCACTAAAAGCTGCTGCTCCATTTTCTGCGTATGCAGAGTAGACTTGATCCAGAAGACCTGAGAGGCCAAACCATTCAGTGATATATAGACCAACAGGAGTATTTTAAAGTCCATTCTCTGAGATACAGGGAGCTGGCCTTGTGATATCTTCACTTCCGTAGTGTTAGTGAGGGGCGGCAGCAATCTGGATCAACTGCAGTTCTCCGATTGACTTTTGAGCAGAACCATGAAGGCATCAATGCAGTACTCGATTACACTAAAGATGAATGCATGAATTAGTTTATGAAGATCCTGTTGAGATATTAGTCCTTTAATCCTGGGGTCAATCCTAATAGGTGATAAAAGGCTGACTTTTTATGGTCTTTAATGGCCTTTATAATTTCAGGTCTAAGTCCATCACTACACCCAGATTTCTATATGTATTAACTTTTTTCATTTTAATTTATATTTTGTCACATAGTGTAATTGAAACAAAATAAGACAAACAAAAAAAACTGACTAGCTAAGGAACAACGGGTAACACACTTTGTTTTCAATAGTTCCAAATCAATTGTTCATCAAAATTCCACCATGATGTCCACCTTTCTATGAATTTGTCCTGTTCCATTCAGCGCGAATGTCAGATTCTCTAATCTGAAAAACAAGTCCTGTTTATCCAGTCTCTTCAACACTCATATATTTACAAGTGATAGCTTTTTGCAGGCAGCTAGCATTGTACTAAACATATGTTTAGTACAATGCTATGTTTTCAAACTTTGTTCAATTTAGGGAAGATTCTCTAGGTGTGAACTGCAGCTGAAGACAGGACTCCACCAGCTGTCACATTGAGAGGTACCCTGGACATCGATCCAACCTGTTTCTTGAGTCAAGCCTCTTCTGAACAACACAGAAGATTATTACCTGGCTGGAACTGGATTGTTACCCTGTGGTCTAAATCTTCTCTTAGAAAATCTTTTTATTCACTCTGCCAATGATGAGTGACACCAGACCTAACTAGAGCTAAAAAAATGCTACCAAAGCAACCTGGGCTTCCTTAACAACTAAGCAGAGCTGTAGTCTGATCACTTTGATGCAATGCAGTATTAAAGAAGTTATTTATGCAAAAAAAAAAGGAGGTGCGACCAAGAACCAACGGCATGCGCAGTACAAGTGAAAGACATACTTTGCAGAAGATCAACACACACATATAAGATTGTTTATTTGGTCAAATAAAATAACATTTTGGCTGTGACCTAATGACATTGTAACTAAAAGCCATAAACATTGAAAATACACAAATCTGTCTGCAAAGCATCAATGTGAGCTTCCTTTGGATTGAGAAACTGCTATAAACCTTTCCCCGACATTAGAAGTCACTAAGATGAACATATGCTGACAAGGATAACAAGCAGAAATCAAAACAAGGAACAGAGTGTGAATGTTGAAAATCAACGGCTGATAGTGCTTCAACCTTGGTGTATCAGTTGTTTTCTATTTAAATCAAATTGGTCACAAGTGGAAAGAAAAAAAAATAGTAACATGGCGGCGTAATATTTATAGCCTTGGAGGACATTAGCATCAATCCCAGCCTTGAATCTCCTGTATGTCTGCCTGCTGGGTGAATTTACTCCGACTTATATTGAGCTGTGCTTCCCTGGTGGCACTGATCTATTTTTCACTCTGTTTGCCAGAGAAGTGACCGTGAACTTGATGGACTTTGGTTCCTCTGTTTATACTGTCATCCACAAACAGATGTTAGCACATAGGTGAGTGCCTCAATGACTAACATTTTATAACAAAACTCCCTGATAATTATTAATAGACGTGATACTTTGGACTACAATTAGTCACAAAACCATTCCAGACCAATCGCTAATCCAAAAATAGGTTGATGATAATGTGACTTTTCTCAAACGCTTCACCCCAAAAACAAATCGGGTAACCCAGGAAGAATAAAATAGACCTTTAAACGTAGTTAAAATAAGGTGTTATGCAACAGAGCAGAATTTGCCCATGCTTACCTCATTGCCATGTTTCTGTAAGGACTCGATTTCCTGTTGTGTGAATGTCGTCATGGAGATAGACTTAACTCTATGGGGTGGATTCAGTCCCCGTCTGCAGAAAGAGAAATTGAAACTGAGGTCAATTTTATTTCAGAACACATTGAATGAAACCATCTTCTTGATGGCCTCTATAGCCACTCTCTGTGAACGTTGCTGTTTATGAACGTTGCAGTCCAACAGCCTCCCTGTGTAAATGAGTCAACCATAAGTAAAAGAAAGACAAAAGCGTGGGAGAAACGACAAACCTAATTAGCAAATTTTTCCATAGAAGGTCACAGGTCTCTGGAGCAGCGGACAAAGTTGAAAATGTTTTTCTAACTACACTGGATAAGAATAATCAATAGGCAAGATTTCTGTCTCTGAAAGTTAAGACTAACTGATATGGCTGCAAGGTCATCTCTTGTTTGTCTTTGATGCTGATCAAGGAACATTTGACACACAAGAACATTTTAACTGTAACCTTTGGGCAGAGAAATCTGAGCTTGAAAAACAAAGAATTTTGGAATTATTCTGTAAAAAAAAAAAAAAAAAAACTTATGAATGTGTGGCGAGAAATATGAATCAAAAAAATTTAATTACAGTCATAGCTTTAAGTTAATAAAATGCCTGCATGATAAAAGTTCTTCCTTTAAGACCGTCTTCTTCCAAAAGAAGAGTCTCAAAGTGGAGGAGGGTGATATGACAATATTGGATACTTTACAATGCCTCTATAAGGGTCAAAGTAATCAGTATGTTGATTTAACCAAGGCTTAAACAAAAAAGAATTATTAAAGATGATGATTTTTGTACAAAATCAATCAATTGACCCTTTTAGATACAAACTGTCAGACAGCTACAATAACAGAGACACTAAGCTCCTCCACTCCCCGCAATCGTTCACCCAATCGACACAATAAGATGCTGCTGGAAGTTTGAACGCTGGTAACCAGAGAGTAAAGCACACAAAATATGCGACCCGATTTAGCCAACCAGGTAAATCCAAAAGTGTTGGTCAGAGGGCCTTTCAAAAAACTACCCAACGCTACAACAGTGATGTTAGACAGCAACCTATAGGGGGTGTTGGTCTAGTGGGAGGTTTAGTGCTAAGAGCAGTGCGCTTGTGCTCTGAGAAGGTTGCAAGTAGGGCTGCAACAACGAATCGATAAAATCGATAAAAATCGACTTTTAAAAGCGTTGGCAACGAATTTAATCATCGATTAGTTGTGTCGCGCGATTAATGCGTCATCCGCCGCCGCCGTCATCCCGGGGAAGAAAAAAAAATATGGCGGAGCGAGTCTGCGCCGCAGTTGCAGTGTTGACAACTCAGTGACTCTTCAGACCCCTCCAGCGACTATTTTTTTTAAAAGCTACTAGCGACAAATCTGGCGACTCTTTACGGTGTCACTGGCGGCTATT